TATTTATATAAATGAAATTCAAATTTAAATATTTGAGTATTTATATGCACCTATCAATAATTTAAATATTCAAAACAAATGATTAAATCAGTTCGAATTTAATTTTTTGAGTAGCAAGATATATGCATCTATCACTAATTCAAATATTTAAATAATAAATTATTTTTTTAATTTAGTTATTTGAATATCAGATGTGCAAATCTATCATTAATTCAAAATTTTGAATATAAATAAAATAAAATTTAAAATACCCGTCATTTTGGATAAGAAAAAAAAACCGTATATTTTAAACCATTTATTTATTTTATTCAAAACATATCTTAAAAAATTGGTTAAAACAAAAAAAACTCCAACAAATAAGATCTTACAAAGATCTATTCATTCAACACAGAGACAAAAGCCTTATATAATTTCAGCTACCGTCTGAGTACTCACACCTAAACATTTCCTTCCAAGGTTACGCGCCATCGGCATTTGCTGCCAAGGCAAAAAAATAAATATGTAATTCTTCTTTTTTTTTTTTTGAATTATTTTGTCTGAAACCTCTGGATTTTGGATTCTTTTTGTAAAACCCAGAAAAAAAAATTATTATAAAAAGGAAAGTTGGTGCTTAAAAGCATTACATGAAAATATTATGATGCTGAAGAATCTAAAACAGCTTATATTTTCTCTGAAAATGAGGAGAAAGAAAAGAGAACGTAACGATATCCATCTTCACGGCTCCAACAACTTTTGTATCCGACTTAACCTCATTCTTTGGCGCAAACGCCACCGTATCTTCTCCTTCATCTCCGCCGTCTCCGGTTGTCTCCTCCTCTTACTCTTCGCCTTATCCGTTTTCTCTCCTCCTCCCATCGCCACCAATCACTTCCTTTCTCACCACTCCTCGGTTCGTCACGTTATACCTCCCTCTTGTTTTCTTTCGTATTCATGCTATTTTCGTGTGTTTGTTTTCACAAACTTTAAAAAAAGATAATATAATATTCTCCTATTTTTATGGCCTGTTTTTTTTTGTTTTTGTTCTTTTGTTTAGGTGGTGAAAAGAGAGGCCGTGGAGTCCAATTTCAATGAGGTGTTTGAAGTTCCGGTATGATTTTTTTTTTTAAGTATAATTAGAGCTTAATGTTAATTTTTTGTTTTGAGTTTGATGACTTGTTTGGATCTTAAAATTAGTTTTGATTACCTTGTTTTTGTGGTTTTAGGCAAGTGGAGGAAATTTAGGTCGTGATTTATGGAGTTCAAGCCAATCAAAGTTCTACTATGGATGCAGTAACGCCTCTAAGAATTTTCAAAGTATTCCAAATTTAAATCTTTATTTTACTTTTAAATTTTTTGTTTGGGTTTTGATATTGAAATCTAAATTTAATTTTTTATATAGATTTTTCCCCATTTTGAATTGACTTTAAATTTAAATGCTAGCTGTTTGTTCATTTACACTTGTAAAATACAAGGCTGCATTTAATGGTTAGCTAATTTGTGTATGTTTTAGCTGCTGATGTGAAAACACATCCCAACCGATACTTGTTGATCGCTACCAGTGGAGGGTTAAATCAACAGAGAACAGGGGTAAGTTTTTCTGAAACAGACATTTTATGGAGCAGCTTCTGGGCTGTTATGCTTATTGGAATTGACAGCTAATGTTGACTTTTTGCGGGGCTTATTGTCTTGTAAGGATGCAGTGAATAAGTGGGAAGTTTATATTTTTGGTGCTGACAATATTGTGACTTTTATGGCTACAGATAACTGATGCTGTTGTTGCAGCATATGTTTTAAATGCAACTCTGATCATTCCCAGACTGGATCAGAAATCTTACTGGAAAGATACCAGGTCTGCTGTTTTATTCATGTTTAATCCAAATGCAGGGAATAGTTTTTATTCTGTGCTTTTATAAGTGATGGGGTATTTGACGCAGTCGATTTGCTGAAATATTCAATGTTGATCGGTTCATTTCATCACTCACAAGAGATGTTGAAATCATCAAAGAGATACCACCAAAGGGAGGTAAAGCTTGGGTTCCACGTAGAATGCGTGTTCCAAGGAAGTGCAATCCAAAATGCTATCAGACTCGTGTTCTACCTGTTCTAAATAAAAAACATGTAAGTAATAGCTCTAAATTGGCTGCCACGCATTTCATGTCCTAGATTTTGTTTTATGTATTGTATATGTTTCGGCACATAAAAAAACATAATAAAACCTGATTTTACCAGGATCTAACTTTTTGGCTCTGCCAATGTTGCTTTCTACTGTACTTTGTAGTACGCGGCCAGCCTATCAAATTTGCTATGAATCATCACAGTGGAGATGTTGTTGTAACTGGAAGTCTGGTGTCTAGGTTAAATTCTAATATCCTTGGAAGTGATAAGCTACACCCTATAAATTCAATTTCATTATACAGGCACACAAATGACAAAAATCATTTGATGCACCTTGCCACTTAGTTGGTAGGCTATGTTACAAGTTACAACTGTGGAGATAGGAAATTGTTTTGCAATCAATAAGTCACCAAGCCTAACCATTAGCAGAGAATGGAAATGGAACCTGATATATTAGCACAGGGCATATAGTTAGGAAACCTTAGTTATTAGTACCCAGAAAGGCAAGTTTATTGGTTTGAAAGGCATCAGTGGCCTTTGTGGGCGTCAGTCATATCAAGTTTTGCACTCATAATGATTGTGTTAATTTTATATCCTGCGGTATTAATATCATGTGTTGATGTCAAACCTCTTCTTATTTACCAAGAAAGATGATACTTAATCCATCTTTTCATATGTTAAATTAACTGTGATGGTCTATCTCTTGATTGTTTTGTTGTGCTTGAAACAAGCATGTTATTAAAAAACTGACAATTTAATCATCTAAAATAGAAAATAACAAATCAAAAACTCACAATTTTTTCACCATCCTTTTCCTGTTGCAGGCGGTTGAGCTTACAAAGTTTGATTATAGGCTTTCAAATAGGTTGGAATCAGATTTACAAAAGCTCAGATGTAGGGTGAACTACCATGCTCTAAGATTCACAGATCTCATTCTTGAAATGGGTAAAATCTTGGTTGAAAGGATGAGGATGAAAACCAAGCATTTTATTGCCTTGCATTTGAGGTAAAGAGCATTCTGTTGTTAATCATATTGTCTTTAGATATTACAGTCTTTTTAAATGCCAATAATTTATGAAATTTGGCTGCGGCAATGGCTGCACTCTAATGGTGTTTATGCCTTTATTAGATGTTAAATCAGTTTGTCTGAACATTTTTACTGTAAAAAGTGAAGGACTTTATTAATGCAGGTTGATATATCATTTTCCATAGGTTTGAACCTGATATGCTTGCATTTTCTGGATGTTATTATGGTGGTGGAGAAAAAGAAAGGGGGGAACTTGGTGCAATCCGGAAGAGGTGGAAAACTTTGCCTGTAAGACCATGCAAGTTGTTAAAGCCACATCTTTAATCCTAAATAGCTTCTGAAGCATTATAACATGTTTATTTTGGTATGAACTGCAGGCGAGCAACCCGGAAAAGGTGAGAAGGCATGGAAGATGCCCACTGACTCCAGAAGAAATTGGTCTAATGCTGAGAGCATTGGGGTTTGGCAGTGATGTTCACATTTATGTGGCATCAGGTGAAGTATATGGAGGTGAAGAGACATTGGCCCCGCTGAAAGCACTCTTCCCTAATTTTCTTTCAAAAGAGACTATAGCCACCAAGGAGGAGTTGGCACCATTTTCATCTTTTTCTGGTCGCATGGCTGCACTGGATTTCATTGTTTGCGATGAAAGTGATGTTTTTGTCACAAACAATAATGGAAACATGGCTAGAATGTTAGCTGGTCGAAGGTATGCAACTCTTTTTTCGTTGGGTTGAGCTTGCCTATAGTCACTTATGCATGTAAATTACATTGACAACACACTTGTTTGCTGCCTTTTTTTCTACTAAATATATTTGTCTATTATCACAGGAGATACTTTGGGCACAAACCAACAATCCGACCTAACTCTAAGAAACTGTACAAATTGTTCTTGGATCGAAATAACATGACATGGGAAGAGTTTGCATCTAAGGTCCGAACTTATCAGATTGGCTTCATGGGAGAGCCAAAGGAAATGAAACCTGGCAGGGGTGAGTTTCATGAAAACCCTGATAGCTGCATATGTCAGGCTGAGGGAGTTGAAACTATTCAAAATCCAACTCCTGAGGACCATGAAAATGAAAACGACAGGAAAGATGCTATTGAAGAGAGTGATGAACAACTATCTATCGATGAGGATCCAGATTGGACTGATATTGATTATTTGGATAACAGTGGTGGGTTCAAGGAGCCGCCTAATCTGGACAGCAATGTGTTAACCAAACAAGAACAACCTGAAGTGGAAGAGTTCTTTTCAGACTAAGATGAATCAGGTTGGCAAATCCGTAATGAATTATTTCCTCAAATTCTTTGGTTCTTTTACGATCATACATTGGAGATTGCTCCCTCCTATTGTACACAAAAGGCCTTGGCAATGGTAATTGAGGTTGGGACATCCAGTTTCTGTAAATGTTGGCACATAATTAGGTACCAAGTAGAAAATTCGTGTTTTTACATTACTTTGGAGGGTTTTTGCCGTTAAGGCAATGATGGGTTAATAATTGGGATGGGTAGATTGGTTCAGGATTGAAATTAGTTGTTAGGTTATTCTTTTCCCTGTTTCTTAAAGAAAAAACCAATAAGACAAGGAAAAAATACCTTTGTCTCAAATGTTTTACTGAGAGACAGATGTTTAAGTACAGCAAAAAATTATGGAACAGAATGGAATAGTAGGTAGTCTTTCTTGTTTATTTTTGACAGGCTGGTTTGGTTTTCATTTTATTGGTGTTACTGGAAATTGCTTAATGTTCACACCAATAAGCGGATGAATATTCCTCAGAACCGGCATTTACCAGAAACGGCGTCGTTGGGGATGGCGCGAGCCAGAGCCACGAGCCGGATAGCGGCACCCCAATCAGAAAGTATACGTGGCATATTTCGTAATCCACTTTGATGAACGACGTGGCAAGATTTAGATCCATTGTTTTTCCTTTTCTCTCTCTCTCTCTCTCCTCTCTCCACCTGCCTTTTTTTTGGGGGTACGAACACACAGAGCAAAAACAACAATGGCGTTGAGACTTCCCACTCAGCTAGCGACACGTGGCATATTAAACCACCGCAACCACACTAAACCCACCACCACCTCGCTGTCATGGCGGCGGGCAATATCACAGGATACTCTACTCCCCTACCACACCTCTCTCACCACCAGTAAGCACCCAATTTTTTTTAACTTTGCTTCAAACGGAATTTCCATCTCAAATATTCTTGAATTCTTTATCCTGCCTACAGAGAAACCGCGCGTGCAACAATTGGTAACATGCAGTGCCAGTGGAAGTGCTCTGGCAGTGAATATGGCTCCAGGTACTCCCGTCAGACCGACAAGTATACTAGTAGTTGGTGCCACTGGAACTCTTGGAAGACAAATCGTGAGACGGGCACTCGATGAAGGGTACGATGTAAGGTGCCTTGTCAGGCCCAGACCCACTCCTGCCGATTTCCTCCGTGACTGGGGCGCAACCGTTGTCAACGTAAATCTTATTTATAATTTGCGTAAAGTTTCAACCTTTTCAAATATTACCCTTTAATGCACATATTCATTTTTGGAGCAGGCAGACCTTAGTAAACCAGAGACAATACCTGCAACATTGGTTGGTATCCATACGGTTATAGATTGTGCCACGGGTCGTCCAGAAGAGCCCATCAAAACGGTATGATTGAATAATAATGGTGAATTTTTCTGTTTTTTGTTTTAACTTTCAAATTATCTGATCTATGTGTTCTGTGTAGGTAGATTGGGAAGGAAAAGTTGCTCTTATACAATGTGCAAAAGCAATGGGGATTCAGAAATATGTATTCTATTCTATTCACAATTGTGATAAGCATCCTGAAGTTCCATTAATGGAGATCAAGTATTGCACTGAGAAGTTCCTTCAGGACTCTGGCTTAACCCACATCATAATCCGGTTATGCGGTTTCATGCAAGTAAATTTCATCTACAACTCAATCTTTCCTGTTTCTTTTTTTTGTGTCTCTTCCTTGTAGTTGATCTTGACTATTTATGTTTGTAAAATCATACAAAAAAAAAGTTCTATGCTTTAAAATGAACATAAATAAAAACATGATTGCTTGGAAGAAACAGTATATAATTGAATTAATGTATGAGTTTGCACCATGTTTCTTTTTTGTACTAAAGCTGTATTTTATATAAATGCCTGTTGCCAATTTGTCAGGGGCTTATTGGGCAATATGCAGTACCTATACTGGAAGAGAAATCTGTGTGGGGGACAGATGCTCCAACAAGAATCGCTTACATGGACACACAGGTTTAGACATTCATTAATTGTTTTGTGGATCGGTTTCATGTATATGAGGGAATACTTGTTATTGATCATGGGATTTTGGTATTTAATCAAGTTTTCTTTTGGTTTTAGGATATAGCTAGATTGACATTTATAGCTTTACGAATTGAGAACATTAATGGAAAGCTTCTCACATTTGCTGGTCCTCGAGCTTGGACAACCCAAGAGGTATATAAGAATCTTTATTGTTGTCGACCGACGTTCTGTTGCTGTGCTTTCACATTCTGACTATTTCTGGTGAATAATTTGGAAGATAGTGCAATGCTTTAGCTTTCCTATTATCAATCTCTTGAGATCTTTTTTGACTTCTTATGTTAGCATATTTCCATTCTTCAGGAACTCGAGAACAACCGTTTATAAGTGTTGATGTACAAATAAAAGCCATTGATTTATTTTGTGTTAAATTTTGTTTATTTTAGGTGATAGCATTATGTGAGAGGCTCGCAGGGCAAGATGCAAATGTTACCACAGTTCCAGTTAACATCTTAAGATTTACTCGTCAGCTGACTCGGTTTTTTGAGTGGACAAATGATGTTGCTGATAGATTGGCATTTTCAGAGGTATTAAGTTAATTTTCTCTTCTAGTGATTTCAATCATGCTCCATGAAGCAGCATGCTGATTTTAAATAGTCATACTTCTCAATTATCTTGCTCTAGAGCCTTGTCAAGGGTACTACTGTTGTGCACAATGCAGGTCCTTGCAAGTGACATTGTTTTCTCGGCTCCAATGAGTGAGACTTATAATCTTCTTGGTGTCGATTCGAAAGATATAGTTACACTGGAGAAGTATCTGCAGGATTACTTCACAAATATTTTGAAGAAATTGAAAGACCTCAAAGCTCAATCAAAGCAAACTGACATCATTTTTTGAAAGAAGACCTATTTGTAATTTCTGTGTAACTTATGTTACGTACCCAAGATACAAACTCCAGGTAAAACCTATGGCAGGGTTTTGATTTCCATTTGGATTTCCTCTCTTTTTTCATGGAACAACATTCTGGTTATTCTGTATAGAACCAGCCAAGAAAAAGGAAAATTAGAGGAGAAAACATAGCATTCATTCATGACTGAAATGGATTGGTATTAGTTTTCTTCGCTCAAAATTGACTGGAAGGAGAATGGAGATTATTGCCTGAGGATATATCTGAGCTCTGGTCCAAACATGTTAGTATGGATAATATAATCTGCAGGCCAGGCCATCAAATCTTATTAGGCTTCTATTCCTTGAGGATGAACCCATTTAATTTTACAAAGCATTTTTTGTTGATATTTTATTGAGGAAAAAAAATGGGATTTCCTATGCAGGTAGTTGAAGGTAGTGACTGTGAAAAGAGTTATTCACCACACACATCGAATGTGCCTTGCCAATTCAATAATTTCTGATACAGTATCAATAAAAAAAGAAACAATCTTTTACATTGCAATATTCAACTCCCGGTTATTCATACCGCAAAATAGAGGTTGATGGACAAGGACCCTGTTGAGAGTAATAACATTTTACTGGAATGGAGGGAAACAAAGCAAGACCAAGAGGAAAAGAAAGTCCCAATTCAAACTGATTCTTGAAACATCATTGCTTGGAGAGGATGCTGTTCATTCAAAACAGAGAAACAGAAAGATTGTAAGATTTGGCCTTTCCTAGATGTTGAAATTTGGAAGACAAATGGCCCCTTGCATGCCCTGGACTATGAGCCACATACTGAAAAAATGTCTGCAAATTAAGACAGCTTAGAGGGTTATATTTACTTACTTGAACAAGAGGAGTCCTGAACAAGTTGTGTGAAGATGGTTGCGTTGTTAAAGCCAGTATAGAAACATGTGGATCTATTGCAACCCGAGGGGGTACTATCGCCAAGGGATAAACCTGCTGAACCTTCACATTGCATAGATGGGCATGCATCCCACTTGGATGGTTTATTCCGGGATGCTTCACAGTGTAATCTGACCAAGTCAGCATAGATACACATAATTAGATCCTGAAGAAACTAGCATATTGAAAGGCCAAATTCCTTACAGAACAAGGCATTTGAAAATCCACTTACGTCCAGTTGTTAGCAGCATCACACGTGCATCTCACACAACCATTTGCAGTGAAGACGTATGTGCCATTAGCAGCAAGCAAAGGGTAGTCCAACGAGTCATCTCCCACTGATGAGTCACAGGCTGTAGAAAGAGATGAAAACCATCAAATTACAATGACTTTAGGTCATAAAGCGTACAATCTTTTGGAGACTAAATGAAAGATTGTCTGCTATCATTGGAGCTAGACGAGGAAAAGTACAGAGTAATGGAAAATATATATGCTAAAACCTAAATCATAGGATTCTTTTGGTGGGACAAAACAAAAGAATGGAATCATTCATACAATATTTACCATATAAATATATATCTAGAAAAATAAAAATAATTAGTAGCATATCTGTATATGAAAAACAATCACTCTCCAAGCTCTCTTATACTAAAAATTCAACTATGAAGACTACAATATTTCTGCCATCACCCCAAAAGCATCATGGCTACATATGATGGAAATAACCTGAAACGTAAATCCGAGATGGATGAGGATGTATCTCAAATAGCCAACACCCAAAGGCATTGAGACCATACCATGAAATCAAACATTTGCAAGTGGAAACCAGCGGTGGAAGGGAAAACACTTTAAAGTGGTGGGCCATACCATAATAATGATTTGACAAAACTTGGGCTGTTCTCACCATTAAATCAGTCTTACTATTAGTATTATCTTTAATTAATTTAATAATTCCAAAGCATGAAAAGGTTAACCAGAAATGGCAGAAAAATATCTAAGAAAATTGTAGAGGTTGTCCAATTTCATTGCCTAATTTCTAGCTTTTCATCTATTGATCTATTTCATCTCTTATAACGTATAGATCTGAAGATTTATCGTTAGACATTAATTTAAAAGAGTCACCATCAATCTTTTTTATCTAGATACGATTGACTACCTAAAGAATCTGTCCTTTCGGGAAATACTTAGTTAAGGGTCCCTAAAAAGAAATAGGATCCCACGGTTTACTAACCAGACGGGTTCGAGAGTTCGGTTACGTGTGAGGAAAGGTATAGCACCCTCACACAGCCCATCAAAAGATGGTACCAGCTTAAATTTGTGTTATCCAATGAGTCTTTAAAATTTACCGGAGTAATTAATTATTGAAAATTATTTTCCATTGATTCTAATACTTTTAGCAGAAAATTGAGAAAATTCCCTCACCCAAGAATATGCTAAGAAAAACTACTGTTTCACTTGCAAGAGGCTCAATCGTCGGATTATTTAAAGAAAAAATCAAAATCAAATCAAAATAAAAAGGAAAGAAAAGAATGATTTTTTTGTGCAAAAAAAATTGATACTTTCAACTTTTCTCTAAAAATATTTTTTTGAAACTTTAATTTCGAGAAAAATTGATACTTTCAACTTTTCCTCAAAAATTGATTTTTTTGAAAATTTATTTTTAAGAAAAATTGATACTTTCAACTTTTTTCCAAAAATATTTTTTGAAAACTTTGATTTTCAAGAAAAATTGATATTTTCAACTTTTCCCCAAAAATATATTTTTTTATTTTTATTTAAAAAAATAGAATAATAAAACAAAATAAAAGTGAAGATAAATAAATAAAAAATAAAAAAAATAAAGAAAAGTAAAACAAAAATAAAAATAAAATAAAGATAAAAGAATATTAAATAAACCTAATCTAAAAATTAAAAAAATTAAAAAAAAAAAAATAAATAAACAAATAAATAAATTCAAAAAAAAAAAATCTGAAGCGGCTTGGAGTAGGCTCGGCTCAAGGAAGAGAAACGGCTCGGGGAAGTGGCTCGGGACTTTGGCTTAGCTCGGCTAACTGCTCGGGGAGATAAAACACGCGCAGGTCAGGAAGCGGGTCGATGCTCGGGTCGGGTCGGATCTCGACAAAACGAGCGAATCTTCTAGGTCACTTAAGGCAAAAACGACGTCGTTTTGAGATGGTATATAAGGCTATTTCCTTCATTTTTCGACAGAAAGCTTCTCCCCTCACTCTTTTTTCCTTTCTTTTTCTCTCATTTCTCTCTAAAAAGGTCGAAGAACTCCGGTTGAATATTCACCGGATTCTGAAATTTTTCGTCAGAATCTAAGTTTTTTGTCGAAAGTTCATCGAAAAGTTGATCGATTTCTGGGATCCTTCATCGTAAATTGGGCAGCTGGCCAGAAACTTCAAACTTGGCCGAAATTTTCACCAAAAAATTCAATTTTCATCGAAAAATTCAATCGAAATCTGGAATTTTCCAAAAATTCCCAGAAAAAAATCTCTAAAATCTCCAAAAAATTCATGCTAATTCCTAAAACACTTCTAAACCTTTTCTTAGCCTTCTATAATTTTCTATCCGCCCTTTTTCTCTCAATCAGTAGCTTTTGCTCACTGTTTTTCTGTGTTTTGCTTCTGCTCCAGAGGGTCCCTTTTATAGAGATTGATCAAAAAAATTTTTGATCAATCACAATTCCTCTTTAGATCGGGATTCAATCATTGAATCCAACATGGACTCTTTTGATTGAATCTCAATCTAATTTTCAACCAGATAAATAAAAAAAATCAAACGAAAATAAATCAGATAAACCAGAGAAATTAACAGATAAATTAAAATTAAATAACAAATAATACATAAATATTAACAGGAAAAAAAAGAAGAAAAAATAATAATAAAAATATATACATATTAATAGATACATAAATACTCAAGATAAAAAAATAATAATAAAAGAAAAAAATATAAAATAATAATAAAAATAAAACTAAAATAGAAATAAAATAAAAATGTAAAATACAAAAAATAAAATAAAATGAAGAGAAAATATATATATATATAGACTTACCCATTTGGACTAGGTCCAATTGATCCGGGCCTGGATCAAATTGGGTGTCTACAGCTGCCTCTCTTTGCACATTTTCTGTGAAACAAAAATTACGCAAAGACGTAGACACCCAATCAAGACTCAACTCGACCTTTTTACTCTTTGTTTTTTTTTTTATTTTTTTTGTTTTTGATAAAAACTCCTCTAGGCAGAGGTTCAATGACTTTGAGAAACATAAATGGCTCCTCTAATCAGAGGTTTAACAACTTTAAAAAAAATAAATTGCTCCTCTAAGCAGAAACACCACGACTTTGAAAAGTAGATTGCTCCTCTAAATAGAGCCACCACGACTTTGAAAAGTAAATTGCTCCTCTAAACAGAGGCACCACGATTTTGAAAAAGTAAATTGCTCCTTTAAACAGAGGCACCACGACTTTAAAAAAGTAAATTGCTCTTCTAAACAGAGGCTTGCTCCTCTAAACAGAGGCACCACGACTTTGAAAAGTAAATTACTCCTTGACAATCATGTCCAAAGGAGTTATAGATCGTGATTGAAGACATTTGTAATGGGAACTCGAAGATTCACAATTTGAGTTGACATTCATAAGTTCAGATTCGCAAGAGCCTTCCAACTTTGTAAGAATTTATTGAAATTTAATTCTCAAGATTTCAGTTTCATTTAAATTTGTAAGATTTCAAGATTTGCATTACAACTTGTAAGACTCGCATCAAAGATCCTCATTTGAATTTTGAAGGCTCACATCCAAAAGTTCAAGGCTTTTTAAAGGTTCTTATTTGGCAAACTTGGAATTCATATCCAAAAGTCTAAAGCTCTTCATTTGAATTTTGAAAATTCACATCCAAAAATTCAAAGCTTTTCATTTGAGTTCAAAGGCTCACATGCAATAAAACTTAGAGTTTCACATCTAAGTTCAAAGGCTCTCATTTAAAACATTGGAAATTCATATCCAAAAGGTTGAAGTTTTGTATTTTGGAGATCCACATCCAAAAGTTCAAAACTTTTCATTTGTTTGAAGATTCACATTCGATGAACTTTAGGGTTTCACTCATCAAAGATTCTCATTTTAAA